CGTCTCTCTACTGAAACATTATCACGATTTATTGCTGTAAAAAGCTCTTTTGTCCAGAAGGGGGCGTAGTAGGTTAACTAGTAGCACAATAACACAACTTTATCTGGTTGCTTGACATGTAAATGAACATAAAACATCTTGGATTTGGGTTGATGAACTTCCTGATCAATGTGCTGTCATACACACACATTCACACACACACACACACACACACACACACACGTGCTTTATCAGCTGTGGAGTTTAGTATTTCTTGTTGAATCACAGTGGATGTAACTGGTATTGTGTTAGATTTTAGACCCTGAATAACAGAGAATTACTCTGTAATGTTAAATCTGTTACATTCATGTAAAAATCTAAATTATTACATAAAGTACAAAATAATTGAGTTTTTTCTTTTCATTCTTGACCTTGGGAATAAAAGACTGACAAGAAACCAACTAGTTATAAGTGAAAAGGAGATCACCTGTGTGTAACTATGGGAACAGGAAACACACACAGCAACTGTTGATTTTCAACTTTCTGTTATTTCAAACACAAACACTTTCCTATTTCTTGCCAGGGAGCGGCGCCAGAGATCCTTGGAGTATTCTTGCTCTTTGGTGAGAACATCTTTTTTTCATGTTTTCAGTGAAAAAGCAGAAGGGATAAAAGAAAGAAAGATAATAATTTATAAGAGCCAATGAACTGTCAGATATCATTCTGAGTGCAGGCATTGGCCGGAGTGTCAGTATCAGGTACTTGTACTCACTGCATACTGTGTAAATATTACATTTAACTCAATTTATTCATGTGGAAGCTCTATCAGTTCTATACATCTTATGCAAGATATTTTTTCTTTTTCACTCCTTCTCTCTCTCCACGTTATACATCTCTTCACTTCCCCTCCTTTTCTTCAGGAGGGGATTGCCTGCACTCAGAATGATATCTGACAGAAAACATACATTCATATTAAAGATCTTGAGTTGCAAATTGATGTTTATCATGAAAATATGGTATTGAGTGAGAACAGAATACCGTATTATATAAATCAAAAAAATTATTTGTCCTCAGTGGGGCAATTGATTTATTTATTTTACCATTATTCAACCAGATAAGTCAATTGAGAACCAATTGCCATTCAGAATGACGACCTGGCCAAGAGGCAGCAGCAGGAGGCGAGTCGACACAACATTGATTAGCAGCAGTGGGATGCGTGAACACAAAGCACTTAAATACAACACTAAGACCAGAAACAACATCAAAACACAGTCAACTAAGAAGATTTATTTTTTGAAAACAATAAAACATTTAGCAAATACCTACCTTTTCTTCCTAGAGTTTAGGAGGGAGATGTCAGAGAGTATAAAGGAGTATTTGAATCTATCAGTTGACTGACATTGCTGATGTAAAAGGATGGGAACAATCAGAGAGTTTCCTGTGTGTTGCTGGTTATCTTGCTGCAGACACTGACCATCTTTCTGAGAATATAAACATTATATATGTATATATATACATATATATTCCTATTTTTACTTGTGATTTTCTTTTTATACATACTGTATGAGCACTGTTGGAGGGAGCAGAGAACTAAGAATTTCATTGCTAACAACTGCTTCACTGAGATCTTGAACTTGAACTGGATTTTGCTGACTGTAGCAGTTGTAACTTGCCTAATAGAAGTCACAGTTTGCCTCCTTTAATCACTGCGTCAACAAGAAAAACATTCTTACGGTACAAATCTTTTAGCAGATATGACACTAAAGGGACATTTACTTTGTGTGAGAAAGCAGAACCTACACACACATACTCACTGTCTTTCTCTCTCTCTCTCACACACACACACACACACACACACACACAAACGTTTATGGACAGTAATTAGTGTGTGTGTTGAGCATGAAGAAATTGCAGTCGGGGGGGTTGTTAATGCAGCTCAGGACAAAGGGCTGTCAAACAAACTGATTCTGCTTCACCGACGCTCCCCTACAGGACACATTCCAGACACAAGAAGGCCTGTCTCTAACGCAAAGTGAACAGGGGATTAAGATGAGGAAGATTAATTAAAACATAAATATGGATTAGCTCCTAAAGCTTGCTAACTGATTTATCATTTCCATGTCATTTACTACCAACTCTCTGAAGCCCATTTTCACACAGTTTCTGACAAGCTCAGAGGGAACTGTGTGTGAATGTTTCCCTGTGAGGTTTAATTACATCTTTTATTTTGGTCAAATGCAAATGAATATCTAGGTTTGGTCTTTACTCCCTCTTACTCCTAAATGTGGATTTCCTTAGGCCGAGATACGGCACCATCACTTTACCTCACCAAACCCAACTGACACCCATGGGTGAGTAATTACATCATTAGGCATACAAATGGGCTAATTTAGCTTTTTTTTCTTCTTCTTTTTCTTGTCTAAGGGTCCAAGACTATGACCCAATTTAAATATCCAATAACAACTCAGAGAAAATCTCCTGAGCCAATGGGATGCATGGCGCCACCCACCTACATGCATAATAATAAGGAGCAGAATAATAACACAAGGGGGGAAACTTGCAAAAGCTGCAGCTTGCTCAGTGTGCTTTGGAGATTACTTTGCCTCTCTTAAACCTTCACCATGGTCGACGCCTTCTGTGCCACTTGGAAACTGGTTGACAGTGAGAATTTTGATGAGTACATGAAAGCACTCGGTGAGTAAAAGTCTTCTTTTTCTTCTTTTCTTGTTCTGTTTTACGTTTTAGTACGTTTTTATTTTTTCATTTCCCCCAAAAATGTGATAAATATAATTATGTTCAGATAATTTTTTTGTGCCCATAACAGATGAAATGTTCAGAGGTTGACATAAAACAGGCCATTAACAGCTATATTTTACCTTTGTCCCCTGGTCAGGAGTGGGCTTTGCCACCCGGCAGGTTGGTAATGTGACCAAGCCAACAGTAATCATCAGCCAGGAGGGTGACAAGGTGGTGGTTCGCACCCAGAGCACCTTCAAAAACACAGATATCTCCTTCAAGCTGGGAGAGGAGTTCGATGAAACCACCGCTGATGACAGGAACTGCAAAGTAAGTTGATCCCAACAATTCTTGTCTACATTCCTGATTATTCATAAAAAGATAAACTACATGTAAGTAGACTGTGATTAGATGCAAATTCAAGAATTGTCCTACCTGAACAACCCATTAAACCACCAGTCCAGTCCGCAGACTCCAGGAGTGCTTAACTTGTGTTCAACTAATAAAATTAATTCACAAAAATCGTATTCAATCCAAGACTTTATTCTTAACTCTCTTTCCCCCGTATGTGTAGAGTAGAAAATGACTTAAAAAGTAATTTGTGGGTCGGTGACGAGAATTGACATCTTGAGATCTCCGGAAATAGACCAACAACTGGCTGCATCTTAATGCACTCATTTTCCGCCTCACTTGCTAAAAGCATTCTTTGTCTTTCAGTCCACAGTGACAATGGATGGAGACAAGCTGGTCCACGTCCAGAAGTGGGACGGCAAAGAGACCAAGTTCGTCAGAGAAATCAAGGATGGCAAGCTGGTCATGGTAAGCCATACAGACCCAGATCACACGTAGTTGTGTGACTTTATCAATATACATGACTTAAATGGAGTACATTTACATGTTTTAGTAAATAAATGACAGTTGGGTATCTCTAAGGAAGATACAGATGGTAAAATCATCATCTGGGAAATGTCTTTAGAATATAGCACCAAGAAATACATAGTTTTATAAAATATTTATGATGTTTCAGGAGCTCTCAATATCAACAATTGATACTGAATTGTTGTTATCAAAATCATTTCTTATGAAATCAGTTCTCGTTGGAAACTTCTTTTGCGCCCGAGCTTTCCCATTCACTCTTTTGTGTATGCTCTCATATAAAAAGTATCTCAGGAATCATAAAATATAATACTAGTGCTTTCTTCATGTTAAAAAGGAACAGATTCCTTTTTTATGCATTCATAGTCAAATTAGCTTCCTGTTATTCAACCAATGACCAACCAGTCAGCTGCCAAACACTTCCTCACTAGTTGTTACAAGTTCTCCGCTCAACCACAACGCTGACCTGTCATTTGTTGTTCAAATGAGCAATTTTGGGACGTTCAATTCCCTGTCATGGTAACTGTCTTCTCTCCCCTGCAGAATCTGACCTTTGAAGACATCCATGCGGTGCGTACCTATGAGAAGGCATGAGTGCTCCGGCCGACAGCATCCCAAACTGGCCAAGAAGTGTTGATTTTCTAATTATTATTGACTGTATGCTTCTCTTTGCACTTCATCCTCTTCCACGTGTACACGGCCTGCAGGCTGCACGTTTTGTAAGATTTTTTGTTTTTTATATGAAAACATTTCTGTCGTGATGGATGGATCGTCTTTGCAGCCCTGTGTGAAACATGAAATAAAAAATTAAAAAAAACACAGAGATTAAACTCTTGTCTCTTGTCTGGTGATGTATTGATATTGTGTTATAACAGTTCCATCATTCAATACGGTCAATGAGAGAATAAATATTCCTCAGCCGGAACAATTGAATCCCTATCTGCTCCGTATCTTGACCTCCGACCTTGTGGAGGAGGGGAACAGACCATTAAGTGTCACTGTATTATGAACACAAGACATTATTCTGTAGTTGCACAATAAACAATCTCTTATTACAACACATTGTTTGTGTTTAAGAGCATTTCTGAGAATCAGGGCTAGTTAATTTATAAAACAAATCCAATACAATATCCTATCCCAGCTTCAAAACCTTTTGGTGTAATGAAACGATTATCTGGGACAAAGTGGAGCAATATGCCAAATTATCCCTTCAGAGCAAACGGTTTGTCTCTGATTGCTCCCCTGATGGGATTTTTATCTGATTTTAAGGCCTCAAATGACTCTTTAATCCCAGCCCCAGACGTATGTTTTGACTGGACTGTACTTAAAGGGTCAATTCACCCAAATATATTGTATCACTTACTTCTTTAGTGGTATCATGAAGACTGGTTTAACTTTCAACCTACAACGCATTAACTATTTGCACATGCACAGTTTTTAGTTATACGCTGCTTAAGATATTTTGCACACCATTTTATTGCATCTTGTAAATAGTGTATATATTTTTCATTATAGTCTTACATTTTCTATTATATTTATAATATTCTTATTTTGTGATTCTTTATTGTACTTTTACACTTCTGTACTTTTTGCAGTATATTCCCCTATGCTGCTGTGTCTGATTTGAATTTATCCTACGGGGGATCAATGAAGGAACATCTCATCTCATCTTATCTTGCCGTGCAAATAGCTTTAGGAAAGAAAAGTGAAAAAATCTATGTTACACAAATAAATGTTTTCTGTACATGTGAAATACTTTAAGCTCTTGGGATCCTAAAATCCTTAAAATCAAATAATCCAATAAGAAAAAATCACTCTATGGTTGAACTTCAGATTAGGCTATAATTTGTGATGAGGGGTCACATAGACTTGGCCTCATAAGCCAAAAAGGTTTGCGAACAATTGCTATCACTATGATTTGATGTTTTTACATTTTGTGAGAATAAATGTTTACTTCACTACATTTATCGGACAACTCGAAGGAGGATATGGAATTAGCTGAGTTTAAAAAATAAAACAATCAATACAGGATGTAGTTTCTCTGCTGAAACAGGGCTTTCCTTGTCAGCATCACGCAGTGAAGAGTGAATAATATGAATACTTCTGCCACCTCTGCTCTGTTCCTACAGGGAACAATGGACACAAATAACACAAATATGTGTTAGGACAGAGTGACTAGAGAAATCAGTTTATTATTAGGTAGTATTCAGATCATTTACTTAAGTAAAAGTAGTAACATCACACTGTAAAAATACTTTGAAATAAAAGCATCAAAAGTAAAAGTACTCCATGGTCCCTGTGATATTATAACAATGTATAAGCAGCATTGTGTTAATTTTAACAATGTTATATTTGGTTGGGTAGTTAAATCTAAAACATTGCATCCTATTTTATGAGATCATCATATATATTTGCATGTAAAATGTTCATTTTCTTCAGCACTTAAGTAAATATATTAATGATTCATGGCACTACACTGACTTCCCAGCTCAAACCCTGCAGGAGGACAAACCCTGCACACTTTCTGTTTTCATTTTCAGAAGTTCCTCCCCTTCAGCTTCCAAACACAGGCAATCACGTGACCAGTTCCTCACTGTACTTCCTGTTTATGTCCGAGGAGAATGACCTGCCGTCGTGTGCCGCTTTAGTTTATATGTCTGCAGAGAGATCATACTTTCTGGTTTGAACACAACGAACATGGTTTATCTTTTGAGTTTTGTTCTGCTGCTGAGCGGCGCGGCTCCGCTGGCTGCGGCACCCACAGGGAGCAGCTACCTGCCGGGCACAGGTGAGTGGAAGAGCCCTGGACTTCTGGCTATTCAGAACTCAGGTGAAAAGCTGGTAGTTTATATCTGCCTTATGTCGGTCTTATGATATTTTGGTTAGCTAGTAGGCTTAGTTTTGCACTCCAGTCAAGTTGGAAAAACAATATTAAACATGTGTTGAGATTCAGCTATAAAAATCTATGTTTTTTTGTATTTAATCCTGATTGGTGGATGTCATGTACGCCGAATTTACCCTAAGACATTATGGATTAATGATAAGTGTTCAATGTTGCTGTGAAAGTTACAGTTTGTTTGCACGTGATCAAAAACTTGGTAATTGACTAGTTTTTTAAACGGAGTTTCGCCAGAAATGTCTCCAAAGAGAACCGCACACTCCTCTACACTTAATCCCACATTTAATGGAGCTATTGAAGGTTTCATGGCCTAAAGTTTGGATGAAAGGTTTAGAGTTTGTTTTAGAACTAAATAAAATCAAAAATAATAATCCCCTAATATTATATGTACTATAATTAAGTTATATAGATAAAAAAACAGATCTTGATCTGGTTGTAGAAGCAAAATCTAGTCTTCTTTGCTCTATAATTGTACATGTAAGTTAGTTTGAAATGAAATACCCGTTACGATTTCTCTAAATTTGCACAGATCTGTTTAGTGGTCGTTGTGTGCCCTCAAACTATATTATAGGTTATTTGTCTCTGTCTCTTTCTTTCATCTCTATAAACATGTCATGCTTTCTTCTTCTTCACTTTGCCCTCCATCTATCCAGGCAGGTTCTGGCACATCACGGACCTCCACCTGGACCCCACCTACCACCTGGCCCCAGACCCCACCAAGGTTTGCTTCTCCTCCAAAGGAGTCCCCGCCACCCACGCCGGCCTGTACGGGGACTTCCTGTGTGACTCTCCCTACCGCCTCATCCAGTCAGCATTCGCTCACATGGCACCGCTCACACAGCCACAGGACTTCATCATATGGACCGGGTCAGTACACTGATGAGTAATAATGATAGAGGGAGTGATGGATTAGGGAGGGAGATTATACTGCTTTTTTCTTTTTCTGGAACCAAACACTGAATAACCTCAAGATTTTTTGCATGAAAATGATCAGCAATGTGATTAACCAGCACATAGGAACAATATCTGTGGCTTTTACAGTAGTTTCATATCCTGTTCTCTGTCCTGTCTCTCCTTCTGTGCTTTAATGTGAGAACTAAACCACTCTGAGGTTTCAGAATTGAAGAACAAGGATGTTTCTATAGAGTGATTTCCCAACTTCCTCAACGGAGTGTTTCGTAGTTATTTGTTTTCAGCCACGCTAAATTGTACAAAATTGATGATAATTTCTTGTGGTTCAGACATCCACAGGATGCATTTTATTTTTATTTTATTTTTTACGTTATTTGGTTAATTTCCAAGTACCTGCAAAACTAATGACAGTCCATAATAATGATACATAAGTACAGTGCTCTTTTAATATGTCATGCAACTTCAGGGTAAGCACAGATTCTGCTCAAGTTGCACTGACAACTAAAATTCTCTTCGCATTTAGTCTGGACTCACCTTTACTGTATCCTGTACTGACAGTACGGGATAGTTAAAGAGGTGAGGTGATGTTTTTGGTTAAGGTCAGGGATTTGATTGTCCTGCGGGCTCCTGTAGGAAGTGTACTACTCTGTGTGTGTGCTTTCATGTGTGTAAGCAAACAGAAGTGTCACTTCCTCCGGGTTTTGCGAGGTCCCAGCTGAATATAAAACCCACAATTTCACTTTACTTTATGATCTCTCTTGTGGTTTGTGGTTGAGCACCCAGTGGACCTTGGGATTCAGACTGCAGCTAATGATTCTTTTATTCCTCTCAGTTCTCTACATATTTTAGTGCTCAGCTGGTTACCACTAATTAATAATTAAAGATGGAGACTGTACAAGACTGACACATTGTATTTGAAGTCCCAAAGCCTCATTCAAGCACTGAAGCACCACCTCAGACCTTGAACAAGGAGTGAGAGATATCCACTCGCCCTGAAAAGTAGCTTAAAGAACCGCTCTATATTCTCTGAGGGAAGTGGAAACTACACTGTGATAATGACACAGAAAAAATTGTAAGCACAGTCGTGAGCATCAGTCACAGCAGTTCCTCCATACAGCTTTCTATTAATCAACAGCTAATCAGCTAAGCCAGGAATTCATAGGCTTATTAAACATGCTTAAGAGAACGCCTTGCCACTTAATCCTTTACCCCAGGGAGTCTTTTTCAAGTTACTGTGCAAGCAGATTTCTGCTTTATTCTATTGTTATTGGGCTTTGTAGCATTAGTTTGCCTTTTTACTTTAAGGGAAAATCCATTGTACAGTGGGATTAATGCTGTTTCTGCAATAGTGTACTGCTCCACTGGGCCAACCATGTCTGGAAAAGAAAGTCAGCAGTTATTCTTTGATGGACAGGAAGTACAGTAGTGTTGCAAAATGAGGGGTTTCCTTTATTTCCACTGGTAGCGCTGACTGGTAACTCATCACTTACCGCAGTTACTTCTCATCCGTTTACTGTAAAAAGCAAATATAGGATATTTTGAGTCTGCTCATTTATTTTGTCATTATACAGCCCAACAAAAACAAAGTCATAGTCCCTCATGCCTCTCCGTTCTCAGTTTATTACAATCTTATATTCATACTTTTGGCTGTCATTTCTCTCAGCCCTAATAAGACTGTACTTGCCAAATGAATTGCTGCGATCTGGGAACACAGTTACATTCCTACTACAAAGTCTGACGGGAAAGAAACTTGAGCAGTCAGATAAGTTTCACAGGTTCTAAGTAGCCAACAGTTTAGCTAGATTATCTAGAAAACTTTATTCATTGGATAATAGCAAAAGTGAGTGCACCTGAAATGCTGAAATAATTGCTCATTGCTCAGGAAAACTGTGTGCAAACAACTGTGATAAATCCAGTATATTAAAGTCGACTCAAGACATTCTGGGAAATAATTAAAGCATTCATCTTCAATTTCACCATCTATGTCACCATGTTACAGTTTTAGCAAAAAAAACTACTGTGTCATTATTACAAAACTACAAGAATAATCCCCAAATGGTGATAAAGATCCTTTTAGTAGCACATTGTCAGTGTCTTTGTTGTGCAATTTTTTTTCTTGTCGTTTCTTGTTAAAAGTTAAATATATTAAAAGTAATTACTGTAAAGTCAGGAAACCCTGTTCAGATCTTCAAAAAAAATTGGAAAAAGCATTGTACTATAAATGCTATTCCCTTGTCATTTATACAAAGTCTTGTGTCTGAAGGCATTATGGTGAATATGTACAATACTGATACTCTTTAACTTCTCTGTGGCCCATTTGACTCGGGTTTATGATACTGGATTTTTTTCCCTCTCTTCCAGTGACAGTCCACCTCATGTCCCTGCAGAGGAGCTCTCTACAGACTTAGTGATCCAGGTGATCAGCAATATGACCCAGACCATCAGACAGCACTTCCCCAATCTGACAGTCTTCCCTGCCCTGGGAAACCATGACTACTGGCCTCAGGTAACGTCACAGGACGACAAGCAGAAGAAGCTTTGCTCAGAGAAGAAACACTGATGTTTACAGGTCAAATGATGATAGCATGTAGCATCACATGAGTTTTCACTCTGTTCCGCCAAGCTTGTACAGAAGTGAGTGAGGGAGGGAAGCTTTTCTGATACAGAATCTAAAATCAATTTGATCAAGGAAATTATTTATAGTAGAATGTATATCTGTTTTGTTCAAGTATAAAAAGCATCTAGAGGCAGAATTTTATTATTTGATAAATGACTGAGCCCCAGTAATGACTGTGGATAATAACTGACATCAACTAGAGCTGCAATGATTAGAGTACCGATTGATTAGCTGACTGACTAATTGATAATCGATAAATCGTTAAAATGCTGTTTTCAGCCTCTCAGATATGGAGAAGTCCTGCTTTTCTCTGTTTTATATCTTTGGTTTTTGGACTGACAAAACAAGCCATTTCAAGATTTCACCTCAGACTTTGCAAAACTGGGATGTACATTTTTCACTATGTTCTGACATTTTATGGATCAAACAATCAATAGATTAATCTCGAACATAATTTGCAGTCGAAAATGAAAATGATAGTTAGTTGCAGCCCTAACATACACATCATGTGATGCCAATATTTGCAAACCCTAATATTTGAAGAAAGGAAATAACAATTATAGCAATGTATTTTATTATAACTGCCGTTGTATGTGAGACTGCATCTCATGTTGCCATGTAACATGCTGTTTGTATCGTTCTTAGGACCAGATGACAGCCTCCACTAATGCCATCTACAAAGCTGCTGCCCAGCTGTGGAAACCGTGGTTGCAGCCTGAAGCTCTGCTCACACTCTCACAAGGTGACGTGTTAGTGCATCAACTAGTTTGTTTCTGTCAGATATGTGCAGACCTACAGTGTTAATACATAAATATATTAAAACACAGAGAATTAAGGGTTTCATTACACCGGCAGCACTTTCATATCATTCCCTCAGTCGTTGGTATTTGGATTAAATACAAATAGAAATGTTGACCTTTTTATTTGCATATTAAAATATTACATTTGCATATTGAAATACTACATTTGCCTACTGAAAACATACATTTTCTAACTAACTAACAAGTAAAACTTTATTTTGTGCTTTGCTCTGTTCCTGCAGGTGGTTTCTACTCCCAGCTGGTAAAACCTGGTTTGCGGGTAGTTAGTCTCAACACCATCCTCTACTACGGTCCTGATAAAGTCACAAGTAACATGACAGACCCTGCTGGACAGTTCGAGTGGCTGGAGAAAACTCTGGAGAAAGCTGCTCAGAGCCTGGAGAAGGTCTAACAGTTGCTGTTTTTATGTCTCAAACCCTGACCTTTGACCTGCCTTACAGTTCAGATTTCAAGTCAGTACATCTTTGTCAAATAATTTATCATACCTTAAATGTGGCTTACTTCTTTCTCCAGGTTTATATCATAGCTCATGTACCAGTGGGGTACCTGCCCTTTGCCAGAAACACCACTGCTATAAGAGAGAGCCACAACGAGAGGCTGGTTGCCATCTGCAGGGAGTACAGTCACGTCATTGCCGGACATTTCTATGGCCACACCCACCGTGACAGCATCATGGTGCTGTTGGACCAACAAGGTTAAAAAAACAAATTACAAAAAGGAGGTTAAAGATGTTTTCTATTGATATAGTGGACCGTGATTTCACCGCCTCAAATAGGACTCAGCTATGTTTTTTGTTATACTCACAGCAAAGGTTAACCATGCTAACCATTAATAGCATGTTCCTGCTGCGGCCCATGTGTAGAGCGATAGACCACTGTCATGGTTCTGAAGAGTTTTCATCCATGTATAAAAGCAAATCTGCAAGAGTGCAGGACACCACCAAAATGAAGATGGATTTACATCCTACATAAAAGAAAAACCTTTGAAAGCCAAAGCTTTGATATTCATTCTGTTAAAGGTAAAGGCTCTGTGCAGTAACCACATTTACTTTAAAGCACTGACCGTCCTTACCTTTTTGATAATGAATAAGTCAAATGCATATTACCTTTTCCCTGAATTGGGCTTCAGTATAACTGCAGCTTTGAGAAATTGTGTAAGCATCCAGTGTACGAGGAGTGATTAGAAAACAAATAGATCTCCAGATGAGGATCGCGGACAGAAGCTTACAACCTGAGTGCATTCCCTGTTTTGTGCAACTGATTTGTATTGTATTTTTGTTTGGCTTTCTCGTTCTCCAGGTAAACCAGTGAATTCTCTGTTTGTGTCCCCGGCTGTTACACCGATCAAACATGTTTTGGAGCCCTACTCTAACAACCCAGCTTTCCGCATGTACTTGTACAGCAGTAAGGACTACACTATGTTGGTAAGAAGCTCTGTGCTGCACAACCAGATCAGTTTATTGGAGGCCAAACCAGCCCAGAATATAACAAAACTGCACCAAAAGTACATAAAAATATGTGAAACAATGTCCAAATACTTTTGGCCACTCTATCAGAAGTTGCAGACAATATGTCATAAATGTATCTCTCAAATATTACATATAGTGAATCGATAAATCATAAAGCAGATGGTATAATCTTGAAATCACACCTGGCAAACTAAAATCTGAATGTTTGATACATTCGGTCTGACAAATTTGACAAACGTGGGGCTTTACAATCGACGCAGACCTGCTCTTGTGAGATCCCTGATTTTTATTTCACACCGAAAACCTTAAAACACGTTTTTTAAAGTTTGAAACTATTCAGAGGAGAGCTGAGAACTGCTTGATTTAGCAAACATATTGACAAGTTCAGGTCAAACTGAAACTGTCCTGCACAAAAAATTACCTACTCTAACTTGTATCTCTCTGACAAAGACAGAAGAAAGAATGTCCCTCTTGATGATTAATCACGGTGCCAATCAGCACACAAAAACTGTTTCTGGCTTTCATAAAGACTCCTTTCTCCTCTCTCTCTTTCTCTGGGCTTCTCTCTCTCTCTTTCTCCCCCTCTGAAGGATATCTGGCAGTACTATTTGAATCTGACGGAAGCCAACGAGAAACAAAGATCTGACTGGAGGCTTGAATATATCATGACTGAAGCTTTTGGACTTACTGACCTGCTGCCACAAAGCCTGCTCCAGCTGGGCCTGAGCTTCAGGCTGCCGCAGACCAAAGCCTTTGACAAGTATTTCAGTCACTACATGGTCAGCTACAACAGCAGCATCATCTGTGGGGGAGACTGCAAGGTCAGCCAGGTGTGTGCGGTGCTCTACCTGGACCAGCTGTCCTACTCCAAATGTGTTGCAAAAGGAGAATGGTAGCGGATTGAAACTGAAGGATTGTCGTGGGATTTGTCTCAAGATTCACATTTAGTTTCTGATTTTTAATTTAAAATCAAATTATTTTTTACTCTGCTGGAATCATGAAAAGGAGAATGCCATGCACTGGATCTGCTCCTCCCTAATATTCATCCAACTATTTTACCTTTTATGTTTTTTTTACAAGCAACATTTTCATCAAACAAATTGCACAGCTCCACAGTGAATCAGTAGTTTAATATACCGATGCAATGTGAAAAATATTAGAAATACTTTGATAATACTGAATTGCAGCCTTCAAAGTGCCTTAATTTCTCATCTGACCCCTCTTCCTCTCAGTTTTACTTCAAGGGAGAATGGTGGCATGAATGTGGATGGAAGGATTTATCTCAGGAATCTCATTTAGCTTTTGATTTTAATTTTTTTTTTTTTTGTACTTAATGAGAAAAATCATGATGAAGGGTATGCCATGCTGCACATGGATGAAAATGTAGGATTCTTGAGGGATTTGTCTCAGGAGTCGCATTCAGTTTTTTGGGGGTTTTTTTTCAAATAATACATGTTGTTACCTAAATGATGGAGTCATAAAAAGGGAAATGGCAAATATTTATCTGGGAAAAGAAAATGCAATATAACAAATTTTTATTTCCAAGATGATTTTTCATCAGGTGACATTAGATATTTTAGTTTTTGGTATGGAAACGTTGCATTGCAGACCTCAAATAGCAGTACATAAGTAATTGAAAATAGAGAAAATATTCTTGTAATCATGTTTCAAGAGTGATGTTGACTCTAAGGGATAATAGCTAAGACATAATAGCTTTTATCTGGATATGTCTCATAAAAAAAGAGTAAAGTATCTCATTTGAAATCTGTTCAGAATGAGTTGGAGCTTCTTAGTCCATCGTGCAAGTTGTATCCCTTCTTGCACTAATGGATTATACCTAATCTGTGGAATGATCCAATTGCTGCCTAATGGGACCATCACTTGAGCTGATGGTGTTGATTAATCATGAACACACACTTAGATGTGCCATTTTAAACATGACTATGCCCATTATATACAGTTTATCACATAGTTGAAACATGTTTGTTAAATATAAAATTCCAAGTATGAGATGTGAACTGTTCCAGGAATACATTTAATTTGTGTCAAATGTGTGTGAATGATGAACTGTGGTGATTTGTGTGACGTTACCAGTGCTGTGACATAAAGATGCAATATGAATAGGTAACACAATTAATGTTACATATCACTTATTTTTCTACTAAATAAAGATCTTTATTCAAAGAATGTGTTTAACCCACCTCCTCTGTTTCACAAATAGGTCATTAGAGCAAGCGTGTTACGGATGATAGAAAAAAGAAACTTAACTGCAGGGCTGTAAGAGTTGCTAACTTGAAAGTCACAGTGAAAACTTGTGCAGGCTAGTGTGTCTCTGCAGGGGAGGCAAAGGAACAGCGACTAACCTCGTCTGACCCCCTCACTTCAATTTCACCCTCTTCCCAGCATCAGCCCCCCGGTCTTATTCATCTCCTGTTCAAACTTTCCAGAAACTCCTCTCTGTTTCTCAGCCACCACCTCAAGCATTTGCCCCTCTACCCCCATCCCCTCCATCCACCCTCCCAACTCTTTTGTCCCCTTGCCTCCCTCCATAAATGTTGATTACACCTCCTCTTAAAGCCCCACTGGCAGCTTTTTTAACAAAATGTTGTTGTTGTTTTTTTTGCCTAAATAAAATGTTGGCACCAGTACAAGCAAGTTCTCTAGACATATTCCCACAAAAGTAAACTTATTTTGTAGACTTGTTTCTCATCGCTGTATTTCTTGTGAACAACTGGATAACTGTTGCTCTTCAGGTCTCTAAAAGTCACTCACACGAACCAAACTTGAAAGTAAGGATTACTTTTTGGTTGAAGACGTCACAACCCAAGTATCTATTTATAAGGAATCACAAGCCAAAACAGTTGGGAACCAATGTGTTAGAGAAGGAGTGATTTCCAAAAAGTGCAATGATAATTTTAAGTAAGTTTATATTATTCAAAACTTTCCATGGAGAAAAGAAAGAGAGCCTCGAGCTGTGAATCTGTTGTGTGTGTGTGTGTGTGTGTGTGTGTGTGTGTGTGTGTGTGTGTGTGTGTGTGTTAAAATTGTTCCCCTCATGTGCCCCCATTGCCATTATTATTCCCGACTAGCCGTCCTCCACTCGGTGCCTAACAGAACGTAACCGTGGAGACAGAGTTGGTGGTGAGCGTGGCGAGGGAGAGGACTCCATCGCCACGGTAACGGCAGTAGAGCTCCCAGTCCTCTGAATCCATCTCTGAGCTCACTGTTAGCTGCTGTTATTTAACCACTGACCTGCCAATCAGAGGCAGCAAATAACGCTCTGTGTGTTTGTATGAGAGCGAGATCCTTACCCCAACACCACTGACTCCAATTCAACCAAACTACATTTAATTTGCTTTTATATGTGCTATAGTAATGAATGACCACGCAGTTTCTGAAAGGTATCACCATTTTTTTAAAATCATGGCCAGTTACACTTAGCACAACAAAGACCCCTTTCTTTTTTTGAGATGTGCCAGTTTTGCCAGTGTGTCTGGATCTGAACTGAAATTAAATCATTTATCATGTTCCTGAAACCGGCTGGAAGTTAATATTTCACATGTTAGACTGGAGCTGGTTGGCAAACGTGATGCCAGACCAGGAAGGAGGTTTGCTCAGAAAATTACAGTGATGAAAAAGTAGCCAGAACCTTCACTTGAAGGGTAAAAGAAAGCATTAAAACAATGTAAAAAATACTCCATTATAAAGTATCACAAAGTACAGACATATAAGCAGCAATATATCTCAATGAAATAAAGTAGAAAACTAAGGAGACAGTTTCTGAAGGGTCAGACAGAGGAGATCCAATGGCTGAAAACCTTTAGAAACATAACTAGAAGCTGGTTGGCTGGCTGTTAGTCTGTCTGTCTACCTAAATGACTGTCTGACTGGCTGGTTCTCTTTCTGTCTGGCTGACTGTCGAACTGACTGCTGGCTGACTGGGGGTGCCCCACAACCAGTTAATCTGAGGATTACTGTCAGGACAGTATAGCCATCCAACTGCCCTCTCCTGGGGAGCTGGAATCTGTGTGTGTGTGTGTGTGTGTGTGCCATTACCCTTCAAGCTTCCAGCTCCCCTAATCCTCTTTAACATCTTCAGGTTTTAAACACTGTTCCAGTCTTATGTTTTAAACATCAGTGGTCTCCTCTTTAAATAGTTTAATTCCTGCAGTTTTTCGAGTCATACTTTAGCCCTGAACTGCTGATATCAGGTGGCATCTAATTGACTTCATCTGTCACTCTCACTGTATCTCTCAGTTACTCAGGAGGATGAAGGGAGCGATATAATATGAATATATTTTATATTCATGAAATGTCTCCCTGTCTACCTATGAATTTAGGCACTTTAAAGGAAGTAAATGCAGCAAAAATGTCTTGATCCTGAGTAATTTGGGGCCTTTTCACAGCACAAGAGCTTTAAGTAACACTTAGGTAATTAGCACCTCTCATGAACCTTTGCTAATTAGATGAGTGAACAGCACCCAATAATCATTACCATTGAGGGTAAACCTAAAGTCAGAGATTTTATTTAGATGTCTAGATTATATTTAACTGTCTTTAATGACTTTGGTTAAATTCCAATACCACCTCTACAACCTGTGGGTCCTCTTCTACAGAGGCTGCCATGTTGAACCGCCATGTTTCTACAGCAGCCCAGAATGGACAAACCAAACACAGACAGGGCCTTTTGCATTCATTGTGAGCTTTTTGAGACCACCATAGTTTCTTCTACAGGCTTTAAAAGCTGAACTGTATTCAAATGGTTGCAATCTACAACTTCACCACCAGATGCCACTGAAACCTACACAATGGTCCTTTAAAGTGCTGTCAGCTATGGCATCAGTCATGTTAATGGTCCTTTTCTGATTATGGTGCAGTGTGGCGGGTGCACCACACAGTCTATCCGTTTATTATTAATAAGGAATGAAGCTACATAATACTTTAAATGTTGTTGAAACAATGTCAATGTACACTAACCAAATTTAACCAAGGTTTTAAAGAAGAAATCTAGATGCATTTTGACCTGTAAATTACCAAAACCAGCCTTGGATTTCCTTACAGGGCTTTGAGAGTTGTTGCGTTAATGCAGACACAAGTTTTGGGTATCTTTTAACGTCACATGCAGGGTCCGCAGTGGCCTGTGACCGTAGACGACCTCCTTCTTTTGGACATTGGCTAATCCTTTTGTGTAAAACAGACCTTGTCTGGTCTGGATTGGACTAAAACTGATTAGTGCTGTGCTGAGTTGCTGTTAAGCTCTGCCTACAGGTACCATGCAGCATTCTCAGTTACAATATCAGTTTCACATGCAGGTGAAGATACTGAGACTGTAATTTTCTTTCTCTGAAAATCAGATTTAACTGTAGCATTTAATACAAAACCCCTTCCTCACATTCCCCTCACCACCCTGAATCATGTGTGAGCATGGCTTCCTAATCACTGTGCAGCTGATCTCATTAAAAGATCTAGTAAAGCAAAGAAAAGGCCTAATCTATCCTCTTTGTATCTTGGAAAGGTAGGTTGAGAAGTATTTTTGATTCTGTTTTCTCTTGTTTGTCACTGTTAAAGCAGAAAAGTTTTAGAAACAGGATTTTATTTCACTCCTGATTTATATAATTTCTTCTTTTGATATAATACATACAAATTCAATCAGTCAATCAGAAACTTTACTGTAACTTTACACTTTTTACATGAAAAAAAAAAACATGGCTGCCATAGTTGGTAGGAGCAGCTAAACATAAAGCTCCTTTCATAACTCCGGTCTCCCGTGTGATATTCTCTCACACCCAAGTCTCACACAGTCCATAATGGAGAGAGAGACACAGAGACAGAGGGGTGGGGGGTCTCTTTAGTCTCATGCTTCAGTAGTAATTTGTCAACGGGCATGAATGGACTCCTTCATGAGGGAGTGGGGACAGCAACAAGCAATCTGAGTCTGTGTGTGTGTGTGTGTGTGTGTGTGTGTGTGTGTGTGTGTGTGTGTGTGTGTGTGTGTGTGTGTGTGTGTGTGTGTGTGTGTGTACACTAGTGGGGGTCCAGTCTCAGATTGGAGTTTGCTCTAAGCCTCTTGTAGCCCAGATCGCTCTTGTATGGGCCCACCATAGGCAGTTCCCCAACAGCCAATCAGACTCCACAAAGCCCATTACTTCACTCTCTGATGGCGGCTGTGTCAAGTGGGACCAGCATTTCTCCCCTCCCCCCCCAAAAAAATGCAAATTTTAAGAGAGCAGAAAAGCAGGACAAGAAGAAGAAAAATGCATTTCTGTGAATAAAAGAGGTCCACTTTACAACTTTGAAATATTCTGGGGAATTTATAACAACAAAATTAAAATGCTGAAACAATCAGTCATGTGAGTGATTGAGAGATTAGTTCATATAATATAACTAAGTAATTACCAAACAATTTTAATAACAGATTAATAATTGTAAGTAATTTATACATTTTAATGTGGAAGATTTGTACGTGCCAACTTCTCCAATGTCTCCAGAGTTTTCTTGCACTCCTGATACTAACTGTATAGATGCAGTATGTGCTTATGATTATAATAGCCATACTTTGTATTGAAATTCCTGTGGGGCCATTGCATTTTTAGCACAACTGATCAATGATACGTAGATTTTTATATCAACAACTCAGCAGGCACACAGGATGTTTTCTTAAACGTGAAGACCGGATTGTGTCTCCGGAGGTAGAGATAATCTACAAAATAATCAAAGTGTCCTTGAGCAAGACAATGAACCCCCAAACTGCTCCTGCCGCCACCATCTGTGTGTGTGAATAGGTGAATGAGATGCAAGTTGTAAAGCGCTTTGGATAAAATGCAGCCATAGTTCTCTAGCAGCCGAAGTGTCACCAATGACAAAACTCAAAAAATCTGTAAACTTTAAATAAAGGTTTTATTTATTTTTGCTCCAAACCATAACAAACTGCACAGCCAAATACCAAAAGATATATGAATTACTGAACAACTCTGTCTAGAGAGCTGCTGTCTAGGAAGGAAAACTGTTTTGTGTGTGTGTGTGTGTGTGTGTGTGTGTGTGTGTGTGTGTGTGTGTGTGTGTGTGTGTGTGTGTGTGTGTGTGTGTGTGTGCTTTCTGTATGAACGAGTTGGAAGGAGGCCAGAGGACTGACATCCAGGCTGCACGGTTGAGTCTCCACTTCCAATTAAAATTTCACCCAGAAACAG